GCATCTCATCTATGATTTTGCACAAAACACATATGTAAAAGCATCTGTGATCCGTAGTACCTAGATCAGGGTCAAGTCGCACGCACACCTCTTGCGTCGGCTGTGTTTCCTAATTGCGTATGTGATTTGGTGTTCTCGTGTTTTTTTGTTTTGACCATATTCCTATTCAAAAAAGAACAAGATCAAAATAAAAATTTATGAGACAAACCAAATCATATGTTATTTGCGACCAGCCGCGGGCCAAGCCCACACATCCTTTACCTTGAGTGAGTTTCGTAATTGCAATATGATTTCAATAAATGATCACATATAATTTGACCATTTTCGTGTTTTCTTATTTTGACCATATATTCCTTTGAACTTCAATATTAATATAAACAAATATTTTAAAGGTTTAGTAGGTGCACCTTTCATACCTCGAAAAAAATCCTATTCGTGAAAATAAGTTGAATGGGTGCACAAAACCCTGTTGGACATACATAAGTGCAACCCTGACGACAACTTAACCCAATATATACGGTTACAAGTTAAGCAATTACTTTATCAAGATCGCATAAAACTCTTCTATATAAAACCGTTTGACATTCGATCTCCAAATCATAAATCTTTTATCATTCAAAAGCACATGGCAGATATACCAATTAGCTTCAGAACCATTATCTTCATCATCAAAATCGTCTCATCACACCCACAATCCGATATAGATACGCTAACTTCTCATTGTATCTACCCTCTCTATTTTCTTATGTAACATATTGAACAATCGGGATTTTCCAATTCCTTATGACAATTTTAGTAAATGTACGTATGTAAAATAAAAGTTTATCTGCTTTGTAATATAGTAATTTTTTTCAAAGTATAATTAAGTGAATATTTGTTCCGGGACAAACTAAAATAGTAATATAAACATTTATTTCGAATGAAGGGAGTGATTATATTTTGAGTTCGCTATAATAAGTATAGTTTATACATATACACATAGACTTAGAATCATGTGAGACCAACCTGTTTTCGTGTGACTCGTGAGACCGTCTTTTTACACTTGAAACTTTATAGTAAACACTGTGAAGGTAACCTTCATAATGTTTTTTCTTGAAGGTTCAGATTTTTTTTATCTTCACAATGTTTTGCTGTAAAATTCTAAGAGTAAAAATTTGATCTCACAAATCTCACGAAAAAAAAACCGATCTCACGTGAATCCAACTTTATATAGATATATAAATTAAATTAAATAAAGTTATATAATTATCTATATTATAACAAATTAGAAGATGTAATTTTTGTTAAGAACTCAGTATTGTAAAGTTTCATTAATCTAACGTTGATGTAAAAACAAAAATTTATAAAAGTAGTTACAAAAACCTTTATTATAACTCTCACAACCCTATAAAATTCTTTAAGGTTTCACTTAGTTTGTAGAAATAGAATGGATTTGGAGGGATTTGGAATTTAAATCCATTCCAATACCATGTTTGGTTTGTTGGATTGTCCGGATTTAAAATCCTATGATTTAATTGAAATCATTCAAACATAGGATTTTGAAATCTCTAAGGAGTGCTCGAGATTTTGAAATCTCTAGGGAGTGCTCGAGATTTCGTATAATTTCCAATTTCATCCAAATACTATAAACCAAACATATCAATGGTTTCAAAACCATTCAAATTTAAATCATTTCATAAAATCTAAATCCTTTAAAAACAATCTTGTAAACTAAACGGAACTATTTTTACAAATTCTAACCTAATATTTATGAAGAGTACTGATTCTTATAGAGTTAAAATATCTTATTGGGAATTGTCACAATGACGTGGATTTGCATAGTCCATTAGAGCATGTTTAATATTATGTTTTTTTTTTTTTTTTTTTAAATAGAATATAAAAAAATAAAATTTGTAAAAAATTTACAGTTAACTGTAACGATTATTTTGTTTTAGTAATTTTAACATTAATTATATTAATAAAATATTCAATAAATTTAATAAAATATTATTTCTTTAACTATAGATTTAACTTCAAAACCTATAATTGGTTGGATATAATTAAAATATTATTCCTCTATCTTCTACATAGTTTTAGAGATTTTTACAACCTCTCTCCTCTTTTTCCTATTCTAGCATAAAGGATAACATAACCGCTAGAGCAACAAAAATGCTAAAATCCTTTTTTTTTTTTCTGCATTTCAATATAGCTGTTGGAGATGTTCTTAAAATAGTATTATTTAAACTCCTGACATCCTTATTAGGTCTGCTTAGAACGATGAGGTTTAACCTATCATCCCAATAGTACAACTAACTATCAACTCTGATATTATCTGTAACACCCAAAATCCAAAGCAATATGGATTGGTCTAATAAATTCGAATTCAACTTAAAACAATTGTCGAAGTTATTGGTCAGCCACAACTTCAAGCTTACAAGGAGCTCACAAATCTCATATCCTATCCATGTTGGGACGAGTTGTTACAAACTCCATCGTTTTTATCAAGCAAGATTCTCGGTTTTCATATTTTCATTGATAAGATAAAAGAATCCAATATATATTTACATTATAAACGTTTAATAAACGCCAAGAATATGTTAAAGGCCACAAGTTAGGATTTAAGTTCAATTTGTAAAACAATATGAAGTAGAATATCGACAAAGAGCTTGACAAATTCAAGAAAAGCGTCATATTCATGGCTTATTCTTCAAAACATGTGTTGAACAAGAAGAGAATAATATAATCACTATTTAATTACATTCTTTGGTCTACGTAACGGTCCTTTTTGATGGCTCGTTTATTTCGTAATTAACCAACAATGACTCGTAATTGTCATTTTGTTCATTACCTATACGTCGTATTCTTTTTCCCTTCACAAAAATCCCATTTTTTGTATAACTTCGTTTCTAAATGACCCATACAACGACAATGTAGTCACAACATCAATTTAACAATGACTCGAGATCAATAAAGTTAACACTAATGAAATGCTGTTTTTTTGCTAAGAGAAATGTACGTCGCTCTAAATTTATTACGAGTCCAACCATCCATTTACATGAGTTAACATGTGGAACCCTTTTTTTTCACGTAAATTGGGGGATGTTTCAAATATCTCTTTTTCGAAGTTGCGATATTTCAGGTACTAGTTTTACATTAGATCTATACCCGTGCAATGGAACAAAATGTAAAATTTAATTGTAAACCAAAATTTTGAATTGTTTTATGGGTTTTTTAAGTAAAGTTTTTAAATATATAATTTTTTTTTTATTAACATGAATATCTAACCCGTTATGCGAGCCGACTAATCCCAGGGCGACCACATGTTTTGCAGATAGCCCGGAGTCACCGCATTTGAACCTCCATGGCCACAAGGGGATTCTTATTTCTTATTGGATTTTAACCTGAAACATTCTGGTACTTTTGACCTTTGGAGCCAAGCCTAAACCAATCAGGCATCACCCCTTATGGTTTATATCAAAATATTTTAATGTTCATTTGGTTGATTCATCACATCCAAAACACTCTTATCGCATGTGATAATACATGTGAAGGAACATAATGGCGTACGACGCAACCTAAGGCGTGGCAAAGGTCGTCACTTCTTTGATTGAATATCACAGGCATTCCATATTTGATGAAATATGATATCACATGTGATTGATGATGGTATGAATGTCTTTTGGCATTTTTATAAAATGAAGTGGTCTCGTTTGAACTTTTATCTATATATAAAGCATCGGACTTAAAACGAAAACAAATATATACTATCTTATTAAACAAATTTAGCAAAAGTCTTAAAGTCTTAAAATACTAAATGACCAAGATACTCTTCATACCACTTTTTCACTTTTTCACCCTTCTCTTCTCACATACACTCACCCTCTCACAACCATTTTTTTTAAATTTACACTTTATACTCATATAATTAGTTAATTAATTTACTTTACGTCTTTTATTTTTAAATGTTTTATTTTAAACATTTATCAAATTAACATACATAATCGTATATTAATTAAAACATGTTTAAAAAATACATTTTTATTTTAACAAGTTACACCATTATAATCGTCTCGTTAATACCTTCAAAATGAGTYCAATATTGAATAATTTTTGACTTAATTATATTATTATATATTATATATACTGTGAAAAAATATTTTTAATATTTATGATTTATACTTTATAGTTATTTATTTATATATATAGTATATATTTTGGGGTTAGGCTGTCCAAATTGCACTGTATAATATGTTCTGAATTAATATGTTCTTGGGTTTTTTTGAAATATATATACATATATATATATATACATGTATTAATTCAACCTTAATCTGAGTTTCTGGACAAGAAAAAAGGTAAGCAGTTGAAATTTCATTCTAAAACTTATATTTTTTGGTCTTTTCATGGCTTATGATATGTCAAATTTGTAGTTTTCTTTATTGGTTTTGAGTGTTTATCCTAAAACTCAAGTTTCTTGGTTCTTTGCTTTTGGTGTAAATCGAACACATTTGTGGAGTCGTTTAAATATGTTGGATTTTAAATATATTGGATTTTAAACTGTCATACAATTTTTGTCATCGATAGTCTGTAATTGGAACCATAACTCTTTTTTATTCAAATTGTATTAATATGTAAAGACCAAATGTAATCTATATCATCGTTAAATCTTATCTTATAAAACCAATGGAACTTCAAAATCGTTAAAATTTATGGCTCCCGCCGCATTGCGCGGGTACACAACTAGTAAATATAAAAAATGAAAAAAAACAAATAAATATTGATTAAATTAAAAAGAAAAAATGTAAAAAAGAAAAGATGAAAAGAAGAGTGTCACAATGCTTTTGGCCATGTACATTACTCTCAATCAAGGTACTTCCACCCTACACTTCCCTATTGAGAAAAATAACAAAAGAATGTTTTGGGTGGGTAAAAAGGTAAATAGCAAAATATGAAAATATTAAAAAAAATGGTAAAAAAAAGATAATTGTATTATTTGTTACTATTTAGATATTCTTTGCGTTATATATAATATCATACTTATATTTATATATATTCCTCACATTTTGGAAATTCTGATTTTCCATTTCCATTTTTTTAGCAAATTCCAATTTTACCCCTCTCGTCAGATTTGGGATATCTTGGGGCCCATCATGACATGTAGACTTCAATGCTAGAGCTTCTGAGGGAAAGACATAATGGGCAAGCTTGAACGACGTCGTCACACTCAGTACAGACGCAGAGATGCCGACACGGCAACAGCACCACCGAGGCGACTCGTTTTCCACACGCCTTACATCCGGGTCCACTCACCATCACGACTCGATCCGGGTCAATGTACGACGACTCGGCGTCCTCCGCCGCATCACCCGCCGCGCATCCTCCACCCACCTCCTCCCCCTGTGATACACATCCTCCTACTCCGCTAATGATGGCTTGCTGCAGCTGCGCCTGTAGCGCCGCAGCAACCGCCTCCTGCGCCCTCGCCTTTGCCTGCCAAACTTGAGCCTCCGCGCTTAGCTGCGATGCCCGAGCCTCCAGCTCGGCGTTGCGCCGAATGGCTCTCTCCGCCTCCACCTCCTTGTCCCTTATCATCCGCGACGCCGACTCCTTCGCCGCCCCGATCAGCGCAGAATAGTGCCGTTGCTTCTTTTCTGCTAATTTACGCCTAAGCTCTTCTCCCTACAAGACACCCATTTTCAGCTATCAAATTGCCAAAAGCAAATCCATATGTTTCAATTTGTTTAATGAGTTCTTACCTGGACTCGAAGATAATGCTCGATTTCATCTCCTTGTTGATTCATTAGGTTGGATAAGTCTTCCGGTAACAAAGATGCAAAACCAGAGGATTGAGGAGAAATGGAGTGTTGTTGATGATGGTCACCGAAAGCTAAACGGAGACCAGTTGAAACATCAACGTTTCTCGATTGAATCTGGGAAACATCCATGAATTGATTACAATGAGATTGTTGTGGATGGAGATTCGACATGAATTGATTCATCATATCTTCTCTTCCCCTTTTCCTTTGATTCGTACTACAATTCCCAACTGTAACAACACATAAATCCAATTATTCACACGTAAATTGATAAAACCATGTTCAGTTTTTCGTACGGAAGTTGGATAAACAGATGAACATTTACATATATCTATACCTGGAAAATTGTTGAATAAGGTGTGATTAATGGATTGATGATCAAGAAGAGTAGTGGCTAGTCCTCCACCACCACCACCGCCGCCGCCAACGCCGCCGCCTGGTTGTGGTGGCAAAGAATACTTATTTCCTATTTGGATTTTCCCTTCCTGTATGGTTCTGCATGATAAAACCCGGTTATTTTGATGATTCAATCCGATCTCAGAATCATATGGCTGAAGAGGAGGATCAAACCTGTTAAGAAGCAGAACATTTGATGAACATTCAGCTTGAACCGCCATTGTTGTACGTGAGATTTGGTGTATCTTCTGAGCAGCGTTAGAAAAGTTTGGAGGTGTGGAGAGAGAGAGGGGTTAATAAATGCCAAACACAAAAACGCATGATAGAGAAGACGAAGGTGCCTTATTCAAAACATATTGGGCGGAGTCTTCAATGAATTTCTTTAATTAATAAAAAAATATTTATTGTATTAATTAAAAAATATTAAATTATTTAAATCCATAATGAATTCATTTGTGAATAAAACTAAATGAATCATATGAAGTTTGAAAAAGAATAAATACTATGGGAATGGGATGACTAAAATTACAAGTCTATTACGAGACACTTTCGTAACATCATTGTCTTTTGGTTCGTTATCATGTAAAGATACATATACATATAGGGTTGAGTTTTTCGTGAGATTCGTAAGACCAATTTATGTTCATTGATCAACTTTATAAGCTAATGATCTAATGGTCTAAAGTTGTACGGTGACATTTTTGTGATTATTGAGAAGTCTCGTGGCAATTTTATGATTATGAATGTTCAGATTTTAGATATAATCCAAGGGTTGAGAATTTGTCTTACGGTTCTCATGAAAAACCATTGGTCTCACATGATCTCAAGTCTATACACACACACAAATATATATATATATATATATATATATATATATACAATTAACCGGAGTATTCTATTTCACCTCTTACAAAGAAAAAAACTTAAATCAAGAATGAATCTGTTGGGTCCCAAATGAATTGGCTTATTTTAGATATTTCTCAATGTCCCGACTATTCACGAAACGTGAGAAACAGATGATTAAGAGTGGTGGATGTAGGATTTTTGATAAACGGATAAAACTTTAAGATGGATCAAATGTTCAATGTGTTTTTAGCAGAATTAACTGTTCTAAGAGTTCTAAATTTTTTAGCTAGTTTCGAAAGATTTTTTCCATTTTTTGTTGTTGATTTCTATGGATTGTTCTTTATAATTTCTAATATCGTGTAGCACAACTCAAAATTTAGCGGGTACATATTTCATACCTGAAAAAAGACTTTACTTGCGAAAATAAGTTGAGCGCACATGCACAGGAGCCCACTCGGACATATAGAGGTCCACCCATGCATACAACATAAGTTTATTGGAGAACCATAAATATTTCTAGAACCATATTAATGTAATTATTCTTGATGAACATCACGTCATGGTAGATATATGTGAATACTGAAAATGCATTATATTTATGATAAATAATATTTAGATATATTCATCATTAATAGTTGGTTCTCACGATTCTTAAAATATTTATGATCTTTACATAAAACATCTAATAATATAATGTGGAAAATTTATTTTGTCATAATAATTGCATTTAATAGTATTTAGTAATTTTGATCTAATACGTTAATAACTAATTACTTCCGAGGCATGATATATATGGAATGAAAATTTTGAGTTTTTAAGTTAAAAAGTTGTTTACCAAACACTTGTCTGATAAGCGCTTACAGGTAAAATTTAACATTGTCATTTACTCACCGGATAAGATTTTAGTCCACCAAAAAGGTATCGTATGCAGCAATTCACCCTGTAAGCATTTACCGTGGTAAGAATCGTCGCCCTTACTTTCCGGGTAAAACTATTGGTCCTTGTCTTGCTCTTACCGGGTAAAATTCTTCGTCCTTACCCTATTCATCCGGTAATGTAATGTGACTTAATATTCACTTACCCGAGTAAGCGTTTGGTAAACAGCCCCTAAATGTATCCCTCTTGGAAGCATGAAAAATCTGTAATTATATCATCCTATGATCAACTCTACCAGGCTGTAAGGATAAATGCCAATTAGTTGCGAGTACATTACATCTGTCTTTATTAAGATCGATGAATTCTTGCAATCTTTGAACCTCCAATAATTGTCATCCACTCACAAAACACTATTGTAAGAAACGAACGCATTAACCTTCCTCTATGCAACAAAAAAATATATCGAACACTAGCACGTACCATGAAATAGCTATCGGGTGTCTATCGAATCCAAATGGTTTCTATAAAACTACTTGATATTCATCTTCAACCTTTACAACACCCGTAACTGTATTTAACATCAAATTAGAATGTCAATAATCGAAGAGAAAATGTTTATTATCTTGTATTTCCTTCAAAAACTTATGATAAGTTTCTCATGACTATAATATTTTCAAAGAAAATACTAATGGGTTGTTTGTTTACCTCTTAATAGTTTCATTAAGAGACATCATTTGAATCGTTAAAAAGTGAATCTTGTTTGCCAAAAAAAAAGTCTGTCTCTTAATGGTTCTAAAACCCTCTGAATGATTTTGTACTCTGAACCTCCTTTAACCATTCAACATCCTAATTTCATTGTAAACAATTATATTTCATTTTGCACTATATAATGAAAACCTCTTAATCATTCTGCACCAAACCATTCACCAACTACCAAACAACCCCTTAAAATCAATATATATCCAATATTAACCTTATAATCCTCGTTAGAATGATTTTTTTCTTAAAATCCCTGAATAAATTATTTTAAATTATAATAAAATGACTATAACGTCCTTGACAACTCGTATCGACCATCCCTTGGTCAACTAGAAGGTGTAGGTGTGATTAGAAAAATGCAAGGACCCTCTTTACCACAATTTTTATGCATCAAAGTCTAGAAGACGTTAACCGAAAGAAAAACTCTAACAAAAGTTAGGCCAAATTCCCTTGACAAAGTAGCAATTTATATGGACCATTAGAATCTAATGCATATTAAACAAACATATCTAGACTTTAATACAAGATTTATATATATATATATATATATATATATATATATATATATGTAATTTATTGGAATGAAGTAAGGAAATTGGGCATGACAACCCATATGGACCATCATTTGGTTGGTTGGTTGGTCATAAGTGATTGCAAAGGAATAGAGAAAGCAACAACCCTCTCTTTATATTTTGAACATTATTTGTTTTATGGGTTTTGGTACCAAATTAAATGAAAGCAAACAAACCCTTTAGCTCAACTTACATAGGGGCATGATTTCTATTGATTATGATAGCCATTGTCTTTGTATGGTAGTCAAGAATCAACAATTACAACTCTAATTATTGTATTCTTCATGGGTTTAATGATATTGTCAAGACTCTAACTGTTTCACCATATTTATGTAGAAAAACCTAATGATTTTGTATAATTTGTTTCCATTTTTGTTGATCATCGGTTTTTTTCTTGGAAAATATTGAAAATGCTAAAATCTTGATGATGGTTGTCAGATATTATGGGCTATTTGACAGTTGTTAAATGATTTGATGTAGAATGATTAAGAAGCTCTCATGGTATAGTGTAAGATAAGTTATAATTGTTTAGTAATTGTTTACAATGAAATTAGGGTGCTTAATGGTTAAGGGATGCCAATGATACAAAATCATTCAGATGGTTTTAGAACATTTCACCTCTTAAAGATTCAGAGGTTGCTTTTTAATGGAACTATTAAGAGGTAAACAAGCAACCCCTTAATCAAAGTGGACGCAACGACATTTTTTTCAATCATACCACTTTCAAGATCAAATTTTAAATGAGGTGGGTGGTGAATGGTATATATGTTTTTGCCTATATGATAACTATATTGTCGGTCATAATCTTCGTTTTTGAAGATGAAACATCATGCGTTGTAGAGTTGACGACGTTCACACGTACATTGTCAGATGTTTTCTTAATTATCTTGAATCTGAATTAAGATGAAGAACAACTATAAATTTTCAATAACAATTACATATTGTAGCTCATATGCTTTTCTTTTCAATATTACACAATCATTTGATCCACAATTTGAATCACTATTATCAAAGGTTTTTCAATAAAGTGTGTGTAAACCATTTTCACCACCATGAAGATGAAGGTTGAAAATGGTGAATGATGAAGAGAAAGAAGAAAACTCCCATCTTTCCATTATCACATTTTCAACCATGCATGCATGTATGTATGCATGTATGTATGTGTATGTAAAGGTGGGAATATATGCAAGAAAGTTAAAGGGTTGGTGGTAGTGGTGGTAATTAATCCTCAACCAAGAAGGGTATTCACTTTAATCAATGAGTGTGGTAAGAATTAAAGAGAGAAACCACCAAACAAAAGGTGAAAGACTTGAAGATTCAATTTAGAAACACATCAAAATGTGAAAGAAAAGAGAGTGCTTGCTAGGAATGGTATCATCCCATTTTTCTTTGCTTTTGGTCCCATGGTGGGTCTCCTTTCTTTTCTTTCATACACAACATCATATGCCAATCCCACCATCTTTCTATTTCTTTATATTATAAAAAAAGGGTATTTTAGACATTTTACTAATGTATAGATCCAAGAAAAACTTATAAAACACAACTAAAGTTGGGTTCAAGGAAGACCACTTTTTTACACTTGAAACTTCACAGCAAAAAGTTATGGAGCGAAAACAAGTTGGTCTCACGTGAACCCAACCCTAACCTTGTATATATAAAATGCATTTGATGGTGAACAACGACAAAGCTTCTATTCTCTCTCACATCACATGTATAGGATTATCCTTGTTGAGGGTTAAGACATGGTTTCCTTTTGTTGGAGGAATTGGTATTGATTTTGAACAGAAATTGTTTGTGGTCAGAAAAAGGTTAAAAGAGAATCCTCTTTGTCTCTTTTCCAATTCCATTAGGGTTTTGCTTGTGAATGATTACTACTACAACACCATATATACACCACTCTCCTCCATCTCCCTTATCTTCACTTTAATGTATATTGGTGGTTGTGGATGCGACAAACAAACCAACAAACGAAGATTCGAGTTCAAACATCGCATATGGTTTTGTAAATGTATATGGGTAGGAATCTACCTTTAATGTCGTATGCTTTATTCAAGTTTTTATAAAGTGTACATATACACGAGGATGTTTGATTTGTATGTGATTTTTTACGCAAAAACTACAAAAACTTACCTTTAATACGATATTATAGGTCAGATTGAATAATCGTTCTTGAAAGAAAAACTATCCCTCCATGAAAAATCA